CTTTAGATAAAAAATAAAAACTTTTAAGTTCAGTAAAAATAAATTAATCTAGAATATTAGATCTAATTAATCATTTTGTATGAAAAAATTTAATTTATATGTATATATTTAAATGAAAATTTTCTCATAATAAAATTTATGAAGTGATTTAGATAACAGTTACTTATATTCAAACAACTTCAAAATTATAGGTACTTAAAATGAAAGATATAGATAGTGAATTCTTATTTAATATATTATCAAAACTAGACTTAACTAAGTATGAGGTTAATATAGTTAAATTAGAAAATAAAGTAGTAAAGTTAAATTAATAAGTAGTTATCAAGAATCTAATTCTTTATTTTAATATTGATTTTCTTCTATATTTATTAAATATATCAGCATTTAATATGAATTTTTTTAATCTATTTTTAGGATTTAAAGTCTAGCTAGCAAATACAATTAATTTTAATATTATAAATCCTATTCTTTAGTATATAAAAATATAATCTATAATGAAGGTGAAAAACTTAATAAATATTTTAAAATTAATAAATAAATCTAATACAATATTCTTAAAAATTGCCTAAAATAATTTTAGTATTACATTCTCTTCAAATTATGAAAAAATATTTTAATAGATTTATAGATAAAATAGTTTTAATTTAAAGCTTTTCTATGTAATTTCTAATTTTGAAAAAATATTAAGATAATTTAATAGTTACATTTAAACCTAAAAATTAATAATCATAAATAAAACAGGTATATCTTATAAGGATTAACATAAGTATAATGATTATCTTAAATTATTTATTACAGAAAATTACTTAACAATTAAATACAAAGGATTTAAACCTAAAGTAATAAAATTATGCAGGATTTATGATCTTAAATAATCATAATATTTCACTTTGAATAAAAATAGAAGATTGTTATATTGTATACTTTAATATATTTTCTTAATATAAAGATAATATAGTATATTTAAGTAATTAACTAAAATATTAGATCATTCTGATATTGTCAAATGTAATTATGATCTATTTATTTAGTTTTATTCTTTAAATTAGAGTTTATAAAAAATCTTATCTATTAAAATAAAAATAAATATAATATATAGATGGTGGCTTAAATGATCTGGCCAATTTGTTTTATTAGAATTATGCTGTGTTATAATATTTATTAACTTAAAAATTATTATTTATTTTGTTATACCTTACATAACATTTTCTGTAGTGTAATAAAATTTTCAGGAAGATAATATTGTTTAAAAGTTACTGTGATTGCATTTAATAATGCTGATATTGTAAAGCTTAACTAGCTAATACAGTTATCAGATCTTAATCTTATTGAGAATATTTGATCAGAAATAAAAAGGATAGTTTGCTATTACTTATCACTACTATCTAATATTAATGTATTTACAGAATATGTCAAAGATGTATGAGATGATCTTCTTTCTGAAAATTATCAAAAATTAATTAATGTTATGCCTTAGAGGATCAATACAGTTATTTTCACAAATGGAAATAGAATTAATTATTAAATTTTTGTAAAATCAATAAAGAAAGGCGTAATAAATATGTTAAACTAAAATTTATAATTTTAATTTGTAAAACATATATAAATTTTTTAATATTAAAAAGTGATCAGATTATTTAGATCACCATCTGTACAAATAGTTTCTTAATTATGTTTAATTTATAATTAATTATATTATATCTTAAAGTAAAGATAAAATAGTCAAACTAACTTATAAATTATTATATTAGAAATATCTTAAATAGTGTAAGAAAATAGTAAAAAATTATTAATTAATAAAATTGCTAGAATAAAATTCTTTCAAATTAGTATTAAATGTAAACTGATACAAACAAATAGTGAAAAAAGATAATTGTATTATATTCTTGATCATTCTAAATTTGTAAGTAAAATAAATAAATCATTAGGTAATATTAAAAAATTTTTTAACCTTCTCAAATAGACTTATTAATTAATAAATTTACAGATATATCTATACTTAATATATTAAAAAAGAATATACTTTTACCTAATACTAGTAAAGATAAAAATGCTGACAATTAAAACAAATTAGCTCAAGTTCTTTTTAACTATAAAATAGAACAAACTGAAGCTTAAGTAATTTTAATAACTGGGATTTCTAAATTATTTGAATCAGTAATCAATAATTCTGAATTTAAATTTAAACTTGAATCTAAGTTCAATTTCTCTTACAAATCTAAAAGAATTGCAAAATAATTAAATAATAATCTTTTAAAACCTATGATTAAAAAATGTTAGGGTTTAATAAAAGTAATATTTCAGAAAAAAGACAATTGATCTTAAAGAAAATCCAGATATTTTTGTAATCATTACAGAAAAAGATAAACTAGATTCTATATTATTTTACAATAAAATAAAAAGAGATATATAAATATGTAAATATATGATAAAATTAAAAGATGATTCTTATGAGTATATAAAATAATAATATAAAAAAGCTGATAAAGGAGAAGATAAATTGATATTATTTTAAAAAGAAAGAAGTCATATTTTTGTAGATTGATATTGATGAAAAATAGAAAATAGTAAGTATACTTTAGAAGAATAATATACTTTAATAAAGAGTGAATAAGAAATCAGTTTATAAAGATTCATAAAATCAGATTTTTCATTTTTTACAATTAAATAATAACTGAAGACATTTTGCATAAAGATTTAAAAAATTATTTTTTATTTTTAAGATTGTTATTTTAAAAATTATTATTATATATTTAAGATAAATAATACTAATTATGAGATCTTTCATTATCTTTTCTTTTTAATATAATAGTAAATTTTATTTGTATATTTAGAATAAAATTCTATATATAATAAAGTATATTTATTGCATATTTTACAAGGAGATTTTAAATATTTTATTTATATTTAATTTTAATTAAGTAAGCATTTTATTGATTTGATATAGACTTGATTACAAATGCTTTCATTTTTTCTAATGTGTAGGCAGATAATTTAATCTATTTTATTATATTTTTGCTTCTCTTTTATTATAGAATTAGAATTTTAAAATGTAAAAACTGATTTAACTTGGATAGAAAAAGTACATCATAAATGATAAAATATATATCACTATATATATTATTATTTATATTATCTATGGATATACATAGAATAATATTTAATTAAAATATATTTAATATGAAAAATTTAAGTCTGAAATAATTACTATCAACCTAGAATAGTGATTATTAGCTTAAAAGAATTATTTTTCTAATCATATAAAATGCATATAGCTAATTCATTTTGATTGATTTACATCTGAATCAATACCTTTTTTCTAAAGAATTTATGGAATTTCAATTTGGATTAATGGTAAAGGAATTTTACTTAAAGTTAAAAGAGTATAACATGAGCATAAGCCAATATAAAGAACTACTTAAATTTATATTTCTTAATTATTACCTGAGAATAAATTAAAAGTCTTTATAGATGGTTTTCAAGTACTTGCATTAGATGAGATAGTAGAAAGACTTAGTTCAGAGCAATGATCATCAGCTCAAAAGCTTTGAACAATCATGAGAAAAATGGTCAGAGTTGTTCACTTCTTTATATTTATTTTTGTATGTATTAATGCTTCTGGTAGCTTTGCTATTGCAGAAGAATAATCTAACTATTTAATAAAGTTTTTTTTTTTATAATTAAGGCAAGGAAATAATGCAAATCTGCCTACCCTGAAAAATCTATTTTTGAGGGAGATTTTTTCTTGGCGAAACCTGTTACCAATGATAACAGGTTAATAAAATAACCTACATAATTTTAATTATTTGAATATATGTATACAACGCATAACAATATTATATTATAACACAGCATGCAATCTGAAATAGATTTATCGAGACAACGAATTACTGAGCTTGAGGCCAAAAATGCCGAGATTCCTGAACTTAAAAAGAAGCTTGCTGAGGTTGAAGCTATGAATGTCAAGATTCCTGAGCTTAGAAAGAAACTTGCCGAGCTTATAAAGCAGATGATGGAAGAGAATAACGGATTGAGGCTAGAATCTAGAGAAAAATCGCAAATGCATCCAGATAGCTAAGGAAATTCTTAATGAGGAACCTATGATCAAATATCGTCCTCCCTTCTTGAATGGACTAGAACTTGATGCCTTCTTCCAAAATTATCAAATCGCGCTGGAAGTGCAAGTGGCACAGCATCGGTTTCATAGCACTAGCTGGTACAAAGATGTTAAAAAACTCGAGGACATCGTTAATCGTGATCGGCAAAAAAGATGCATTTGTTTAGATAATGGGATTTTTCTTATTGAGGTATGGAGCCCGGAAATTGTTATTTCAGAAAGGATACGAAAATTTAAGGAATTCGTTAATCAAGCATCCAAAAGTTTCGATCTCCTATAATCAATAACCTTATAATACACATAATTCATTGCTCTCAAAGAAATTCCATGTGCTAGTAAATTTCTGATTAACTGTCAAGTATCGGATATTCCAATCTTGATCATTAAAATCGGATATCCGTATTAAAAAGAAACTTCACGTATATCACATGGTACGTCCGTAAGGGAATTCTTCTTGACATTTTTTTATTCAGTCATCTCGTATACTAATAGCTCATTTTTATTACAGGACTACTAAGAAGGTCAAATAATTTAAGTAATGGGTCATAGCAATTTTGGCAAACTGACATTTCAATGACAGATAGATAATAATCATGTAACTTAAGCTGTCTCTCATTTTATTAACGTATTATTATTACCTACAAATTTTACATTTTGCATTTTTTACATGAATTTTTTTTGTTGGCCGCAGTATAGCAAATTTTTCCAAATATATTCAAAGTTCTCAATATAATAGCTGTAAAGCATGTCTCAATTGAAGAAATTATAACTGTTGCTAATTTAGAAGAAAAAAATTAGGAATTATCAGTAATAATGTAACAGTAAAGCATGAAAGCAACACTCACCAGACGTTCCAGAATTCGTTGCTGAACCTCCCAGAGATCTATGTTGAATTATTTGGTGTTCCCTGAAGCACACCTCCAGGAAAACTATTGAAAAGTAAATTTGATGGTATATTAATCTGGTAATTCAGCATTCCGGGATTCGTACAAGCAGTATCATTAGGATGAAGGAAGCCAGTGATTCTATAACTTCGTATTCCGGTACTATTAATGATATCTATTGATTCATGTTGAAGAGGTGCTGTTCCGAACGAAATTACGAGGTTTGGTATTGTGTTTTGCATTGTTGTCATGCGTACGTTTGGTAGGTTTTGTGTAGGAATAGTTGTAGGAATCTGGTTATTACGCAAATAAAGCATCGCAAGCATCGCAGCGGTATTATCTGACCGAAGATCAAATATTTTAATTGATAAATAAAATTGAATTAATCTGGTTTGTGCAGAATCGGAAAAATAGTCTTTCGACAAAGAATGCAAGCTTCCAATAGGCTCATGTCTTCCCACTTCTATAATCATTCTTGGCCGCGATACGCTTCTAGATGCAGGTTGTTGTCCAGGTTGCCGAGGTGGCCAAGGTTCAACTACGACGTCAGAAATATACTGAGTGTTACGATTAACAGTTATATCTAGTTCCGGACCAACATCAAGATAGTTGCTCCAAGCTCCTATCAAAACAATCAAATATCCAGCTACGTATGTATGAGCAGAACTGGGCATTTCGTATACGATTACTTCACCCTTAACTAAACGGATGTAAACTTTAAACTTTTTCGCTTCTGTACGTAACTCGCGAAATTTTTCAAGTGATACGCCACTTAAAACTACAATTTCTTGACTTTGTATTCTCTTCTATTGATTTCCATTTAGCTGTACCCTCATCTGTTGTATTTTCTTTTGTGATATCCTGCTCAATAAATTGGAGCAAGGTATTCCTTGCTAACTTAAACTTTTCGTCCAGTATGTTTCTTGGCATTGTGGGAAAATATTTCGATCAAATGTGATTTATGAGAGAGAGTTTTTATATCAATCATCATTCAGCTAGAACTAGTGACCTTCACGTGATATCTGCGCCATTTATAAATTGATTAAATAAATAGTTATTAAAAATGTATTTTAACGTTTAAAATTATTATTTATTGATATTAAATATTTTAATATATTTTTCAAAATTTTATATTTTATATTTTATATACTACATATTCAATCCATTGTTAGTTAGTTCATTTATTACTATTTCGTTAAAATCTTTCAAGTGTACACAATATACTGTATATATATTCAATACACATTAAAAATTCCCAAATGATTTAAATTTTCTACAAAATATGAAATATGTTTTAAAGCAATTCGTAACAATAAACACGATACAATAAAGAGTAAATCGGAGATCTCGGATTTTGAAATTATAATTATCTATCACATTAACCGTATTAGTAAATTTTTTAAGGAACTTAAACTACTGTATTAATTTAGATTTAAATATAGATAAATAACAACTTCTTTTTTTTAGTACGAGTGCTACATTTTATTTAATCAATTCATAATAAAATTCTACCTATCAAAACAAAAGTATTCATAAATGCTTTAGCTAAATCAGGAAATCGAATTTATCTAATCATTTCATCTTTATATTCTTTATAATGTTTTTTTTTTTTAAAGTATTTTAGTTTGCACCATTAAAATGAAGGGTAAGTACTATTGAATAAAATTGATAAGGAATACGACCTTCCCTTTTTTGGCTAATAATATTTTAATAATAATAATTTATATTAAAAGGACTTTTTAAATGAAAGTGAGACGAGACCGATTGAGGAAGGCCTAGTTTGACTCCCACGGCCGAAATTGCCTGATTTTCAGGTGGAAGAGCGATAAACCATTGTTTTTATTTTTATCAATGCACTGATACCGAACCAAACTAACCAAACATGTTTTTATTGAATAGATAACAAATTTGATAAGCTAGTATCTACTATTTTTATCAAATTGATCTGCGAAAATACATTGTTTTTTTGCCCAATTCTGCACGAGATGAATAATCTGATAACCATATCTCTTGATAAAGAACTGTCAATTTTATTCTAGATAACAAAGAACGAATTTCTTTCTGCATGTATCATGCATTTTCATAATGTGGCTTTTTCCATTAAAAGTCGATGGAATTCTTGATAAATAGTGATACACTAAATATTTAGTATGTAATCTTTGATATCTTATCACAGGGAACACTAGATAAGAGAATAAATTATATAAAACATATATATCATTTACTTTAATTTTTTCGTGTTGATCGCCCTTCACTCCTTTCGTTATCTTATCGTAAGATTCACACGCATTTAGCTAATTCGCGCCCATGAACTTTTCTTATCAATTAAAGGCGCCAATTTTTTTTTATATAAATTTGATCATACAAGGGAGAAATTTTCATCACTCCTTTTTTTTTGTGCTGTTCCTATTCACATCCCTTCTTTTTCTTTTCCTTCTTTTCCTAAATCTTTCACGGATTTGCCTTAAATTTATAAAATAATAATAATAATAATAATAATAAATAATATTAAAATGCCACCTAACGAAGTTACTATCACTCCGGTTGATACCAAACAGACCATAGTAGTTTGCGGTCTTGGTATGGTCGGCTTATCATTCATCGAAAAATTATTAAAATATGACAAAAATAATCAATTTAGAATTGAAACTTTTTGCGAAGAACCTCTAGGTAAGTTCATTCTCTTTAAATTGGATGGAATTTCGACCGATTTAATTATCGCGTTTATATATTTATATGTATCTTTATTTTTATTAAAAAAAAATAAAAAGTTGCGTACAACAGAGTCGGGTTAACCCAATTCTTTTCTCATCGAGAAGAAGAACGAATGTTAATACAGCCTAAAAGCTGGTATTCAAAAAATAACGTGATCGTTCACACAAACGAAAAGGCGACCTATATCGACACTACTACAAGATGTGTAATCTCAGCAAATGGATTGTCCGTGCCTTACGACACGTGCATTCTGGCCACAGGATCTTATGCTTTTGTACCGCCGATCCCCGGTTCGGATCGACCGGGTGTATTTGTATACCGTACCATCGACGATTTAAATGAAATCATAAGCTACAGCAAAAAATCGAAGCGTGGCGCCGTAATCGGGGGTGGTTTACTTGGACTTGAAGCCGCCAAAGCTCTAGCGGATTTGGGAGTGAATGTCACGATTATTGAAAGGTCTCAATTGTTGACAAGACAATTGGATTCTGTAGCTGGAAAAATGCTTCAAAGTGAGATCGAAAAGCTTGGAATTAAATGTTTAATTGGCTCTCAACCAAGAGAGATCATCTCGGATGATGAAGGAAAGGTTTCGGGTGTTCGATTTGATGATGAAACGATTCAATTGGATATAGTGATCATTGCAACGGGAATTCGTCCGCGTGACGAACTTGCCAAAGCATCGGGAATTACAACCCACGAACGTGGTGGCGTTTTTGTTGATGACCGTTTACAAACTAGTGATCCTAATGTTTTTGCAATCGGTGAAGTCGCTTTGTACGGTGGTATGATTTATGGACTTGTTGCGCCCGGTTATGATATGGCTGATGTGGTTGCAAAAAACTTGACAGGCGATGATAAACGATTCTTGGGAGGAGACATGTCAAGTAAACTTAAACTTTTGGGAGTTCATGTGGCCAGTTTTGGTGATTATTTCGCCAATGAAGATACGGCGATGCCTCTGGTGTACAATGATCCCTTTGGTTCGGTTTATAAAAAGCTTTTATTCTCAAAAGATGGCAAGTACTTGATTGGTGGTATCTTAGTCGGTGATACTGACGATTATGCCAAACTTCACGCTCTTATGAAATCAAAGAAAGTTTTAACCACCCCTCCCGGTGAACTTATCCTGGGTGTTAAAAATGGACAGGCTCCAGGTGCAGATGAACTCCCCGATGAAGCTCAAGTTTGGTAAGCGTTTGGGCACCTTTTTTTTTTTTAATGAAAAATCGATTTTAACTAACTTTTTATTTTACTTTACAAGTTCGTGTAATAATGTGTCGAAAGGCCAAATTCGAGAAGCGATTCAAAACGATGGATGTTGTTCTATGGGTCAAGTTAAATCATGTACAAAGGCCGGTACGGGCTGTGGTGGATGTATTCCAACTATAACGGAAATTTTCCAAGCTGAAATGAAAGCGTTGGGTCACGTGATGACCAACGCGCTTTGTCCACATTTCAGCTTATCGCGTTCTGAACTATTCCAAGTCATAAAGATAAGGAAATTGACAACCTTTAAAGAAATCATGGAAAAGGTTGGTAAAAAAGGAACTCATGGATGTGAAATCTGTAAACCGGCTGTCGCTTCAATTTTGGCTAGTTTATGGAACGATCATGTCCTTGATCATGCCAATCTACAAGATACAAATGACCGTTACCTTGCCAACATTCAACGCGGGGGATCATATTCTATTGTTCCTAGAGTACCGGGAGGTGAAATTCTTCCTAAAAAACTTGTCGTGCTCGGACAAGTTGCGGACAAATATGGGTTATACACTAAAATCACAGGTGGCCAAAGAATTGATCTTTTTGGTGCAAAAAAGCAAGATTTACCCGTTATATGGGAAGAGCTTGTTAAAGCCGGATTTGAATCTGGTCACGCTTATGGAAAAGCCCTGAGAACTGTAAAATCTTGTGTGGGAAGTCAATGGTGCCGGCAAGTATTTTTTAAAATTCAACGTTCAAAGTTTCTTGATTCTCGTTTAAATGAATGCGTTAGAATCATGAAATCCTCCCGTGTTTAAGAATGAATCTAACATAATATTTGTTTTTCCAATACAAAACAGATATGGTATGGGTGACTCTGTCGGATTTTCAATTGCCATTGAAGATCGATATAAAGGAATAAGAGCGCCACACAAGATAAAAGCAGCAGTATCGGGTAAGATGTCAAAACCTTTTTAATATTTGACCATTATTATATTGATGAAGCAACTATTAAAACTAACCTTTTAATCCCAAACCCAGGCTGCCTTAGGGAGTGTGCAGAGGTAAATCATGTGATTTATGTTCGTTTCTCGTGATTGGTTATATGGAATTACCGATCTTAATTTCCTCTTTTTTTTGTTTAATTTGGTTTTCTAGGCCCAGGGAAAAGACTTTGGTCTCATCGCGACAGAAAATGGTTATAACCTTTATGTCTGTGGAAATGGTGGTTCCAAACCAAAACATGCCGTGTTATTGGCGAAGGATATCTCAGAAGAAACCGCGATTAAATATATAGATAGATTTTTAATGTACTATATTTACACCGCCGACAGATTGGCGCGTACAGCTCGATGGTTGGAAAAGTTGGAAGGAGGAATTGAAGTAAGTTCATTTTATTATCGTTTGTATTAGGATAAATAAAAAAGGAAAAGATTATTTACGAGTTTGATTTCTCTCAGTACCTTAAAAAGGTTATCATCGATGATCATCTCGGCATATGCGAGGAGTTAGAAAAAGATATGTCACGTTTGATTTACACTTATGAATGCGAGGTAAAGAAAATCATAAATTTTATCATGTATAGAAATTCATTATTCCCGTAATTAAAATACTGAATATGATGAATTTTTTTTTTTTTTATTATTAATACAAAAAGTGGACCAAGGTAGTTAACGACCCAATTAGACGTCAGGATTTCGTTCAATTTGTAAATACGGATGAAACCGTTGATGAGATTGAATACAAGACCGAACGTGGTCAGAAAGTTCCAGCAGACTGGCCAAAAGATTTCAATGATGGTGGCTTTGTTGTTCCCGAAAGAAATTCGTTGAATGAAAAATCATGGGTCAAAATCTCTCCCGTAGATGCCTTCCCAGTAGAAGCAGGTCAAGTTATAAAATACGGTGACACACAGATCGCAATATTTAATACACACGAGAAAACACGTTGGTACGCAACTCAAAATATGTGTCCACATAAACGTGCGTTCGTGTTATCTCAAGGCTTGG